AGGTGGAGGAGGAGGACGAGGATGAGAGGGTGGCGGAAGAGGAGCTGGATCAGTTGGAATACCCCTCCCCTCGCCCATGGTCTCTTGCGCCCGCCGCTACAGCAGTGACTCTGACAGGAGGTGGGTTGTCGGAGGGAGGGACCTTTGAGCAGCGGCGGCAGTGATGAGAGTGGTTGAGGTGCTACGTGCACAGACGAGAGAGAGAGAGAGAGGGAGAGAGAGACAGAGAGAAACAGCAGAGAGGGAGGGGGAGCATACTAATCCAGCGGAGTCATCCTTCATTTCCTCCTCTTCCTTTTCTGTCTTCTCCTCTTCCTCCTCCTCCGCCTCCTTCTCTTCCACCTTCTCCTCCTCCCTCCTGCTCCTCCTCCTTCTCCTCCTCCTCCTCCTTCTCCTTCTCTCCTTTTCTTCCCCCCTCCCTCCTCCCTCCTCCTCCTCCTCCTCCTCCTGCTCCCCGCTCTTCCTCCTCCTCCTCCCCGATCCTCCTCCCCCTCATCCTCCTCCTTCTCTCCTTCCTCCTCTTCAGTCATGCCTTCCTCCTTCCGCCCTTCCGTCCCCCTCCGACAAGTTCACACACTCTTCCATCCTTCCTTTTAAGTACTTTGAGTGGATCCCAGGGCCGCGGTTCAGCCGAGGAAGGGGTGGAAGAATGGATGGGGGAGAGGAAGGAAGGAGGATGGCGGGCTTGAGCAGGGAAATGGATTAAGGGAGGACAGAGGATGGAGACTGGAGGGAGGGAGGGAGGGAGGAGAGAGAGGAGGGTGGCAGGTGGAGAGAGGAGGGACAGCCATTACGTCGTACTACAGACAATAATGGGCTCGAGAAGAGCTATGGGTTTCGGTTGTTCCGAAGATCGAGGTCGGGCAATCTATTCGTGGCCGAGGCTCGCCGTGGCCAGAACAAGGCCTTTCTGTTGCGTTTTCAGCGCTTGTTGTTCTGGAGGCCCCTTCCCATCAGCTGGGAAGCCATCCGTTTTCATCATCGGGCCTTCTGTCAATCGAGAACATGGGAGGGAGAAGAGGCTGGGGGGGAGGAGGAGGAGGAGGAGGAGGAGGAGGAGGAGGAGGAGGAGGAGGAGGAGGAGGAGGAGGAGGAGGAGGAAGGAAGGCCATCAGGTGGGGGAAGGAGGGTGCCACTTGGCAGGGGGGTCACGGGCTCGAGCAGGAGCACGGGCAGGAGCAGCAGCCCGAGCAGTTCTCCCGCGTGGCCCGTCGTCTTCAAGCGTGCTCGCTGTAGTGCTGGGCAAATTGTCCACCACCGCTACCATGCGAAGGGAGGATGGGGATGTCCTCATCCTCCTCCTCATCCTCATCCTCCTTCTCTCCTGCCTATGGTGGTGGTGGTGGAGAATCGGCCCATCGTGCCGTGCTGCTTGTTGACCGATGCAGAAGACGACGAAGCACACGCGGCGTACCCCTAAACTCCCGGAGCTCCGCGCGGGCTCCTCGGATCGGCGCGGGGGGCGCCCCTCTGCGGCGCGAAAGCGAAGAAGGACAGGCGGCAGAAGCACACAACTTGTCGGAGCTCCGCGCGGATTGCTCGGATCGTCGCTGGGGCCCAGCGGCGGCAGAGGCCCCGCCAGAGGCCCAGCGGCTGGGCCTCTTGCGGGGCCTCCGCCGCCGCCATTGGGCGCGCTCCGCCCGCCAGGGAGGGGGTTCCAGCGCCGCTTCGAGAACTCCGCACGGTGCTCCGCGACAGTTTCCATGTGTGCAGTGTGTAGATGGCGTTTCCAGTACTCTTCCCTCTGCATCGTGCTCTGATTGTGTGTTCTGTTTAGTTTGGTTTTTTGATTCGTATTCAATTGGACTGTGTATTTTTGATTATGTGTTCTGTGTAGTACTATCACGCGCTGTTCAGGGACTTCTGCTGCCCAGGGCGTACTCTTGGGGAGGTTGGCGCCCCGCCCCGCGCCGGATCTGCCGAGTGCGGATCGAAGCGCTGACAAGGACGATGTCCAGGGGTCGGCTGAGCAGGCGGTGCTCGAGCGCTGGCAGAATCCATCGGTTACTGCGACGTGCGAGCGTGGGTCCGCAGGGCTCACCTCGATTCCTCCGATTCGACTCGACTCGATGGCGATTATTCCCGATTCCGCGTCGATTCGACTTCGGATTCCGATCTGGACTCCGATTCTTTGATGGAGGCATGCTAACCTGCCGATTTCCACCGATTCGACTTTCTCCCAGCTCGGCTGCCCATAAACGTCGATCCGACTCGTGTCGATCGCCGATCCGACTTGTCGATTCGATTCGGGGCTCGCCTGGATTTGGGCCCGACGGGCAGCTCTGCGAACAGCGGCCTCGGGGTTGCCACTGGTCCGCCCTGCCGCGATGGCGTGGGACACGACGTTCAACCTGCTGTGGACGTCCAGGCTTCGAGGGACAACACGGCGCAAGCCTAAGCTTTCCGAGGTGCGCGCGGACCTCCGAAAGTTCTTGTGCGTAGCTGTTTGCTCCTCCAAGGGTTCGGATGCAGCTCCTGGGGGGTCGAATTCTGACTCTGCCCCGGTCCGGAATCCGGCTTAACCCGGCATGTTTCTGCCGAATTCCGCTGCATCCCGCTTCATCCGGCTTACTCCCGCTGAGTCCGCAGCCTCATCCGGCCGGCATAGCGGCCCCCCAGTGGGGTTTCATTCTTTGTCCCACCCTTCCCACGACAACCTCCCAGGAGAGGCCTCTTACAGTCGACCCGCACAGGAAGGATGAGCGACTTTCGCAAGGGTACCCTTGCACCCTCACCTCCTCGGCCCATCCTTGGCCTCTCTCGATGGCCGCGCCCCGCTCGACAAGCTTCGAGATGGGCGTCCGAGGCCCTTGCATCCTGATCCCGAATCCTCATGATACGGGCCGGTTGTAACAGGGGAACGAAGGATGACATAGATATAACCACTCGGAGGTCCACGCGGGTTTCTCTGATCGGCGCTGGATCCCCCTCCCTGGCGCGCGGAGCGCGCCAGGGGCTGCGCCGGAGGCGCCGCCGAGGGGGGCCCCTGCGCGGATCCGAGACATCGCGCGGACCTCCGAGTTGCTCTGTCTATGCCATCCTGCTTCCCCCTATAGCAAGCCAAGGGTAGACTCGGAGGAGAAGTCCTTCCTCGAGGCGAACCGCCACCACCCGGCCCTGACCGCCCAGCAGGCGGCGGCCCCGGCGAGCCGGGGCGCCGGCGGCGGCTCCACGCTGTCGCAGGCGGGGGCCCGCGCCGTGGTGCGGTCCCCGAAGGCGGGCAGCTCGCGCGGCTCCACGGCGCTGTCGACGTCCGCAGCTCCGAAGGGGGGCAAGAACGGCGTAAGCAGAAGTCTGGGCCTCCTGTCGGTGGCGAGCGAGGGAGGGGAAGATGTTGAGTAGGTCGGGGGCGGAAAAGAGGGGGTGATGACTAGGGGGGGGGTGGATATCATGGAGGGGGCCATGATATTTCCCCAGATCTCATGGCGCCTCTTCTTATTTCATTACGTCCTTGGCCCCCCCGCTGGGCCGCGCACATGCCGCCGGTCATGATTTGCACCCCCCCCTCTTGGACACCCCCCTCTTGGCCGCTCCCGAGTAGGGTCGAGGGTCAGAGAGCGCCTTCCTCTGCAGGAGCACCCAACAGAGGAAGGGCGTCGAGGTGGGGAAGCGCCTCGCCGGTAAGGCCGACGAAGACGTGCAGCGTCCAGCCATTCGCTCATGTCCAGAGTTGTGGCTTGACGCTGGGTGTGGTACATCAATTTCAGCTTGACCGAACAGGTTTGTTGCGCCCCTCGACGTCCGTTTGGTGTGTTCCGCAGACTCGACCCCCAAGCCCGACTCCAGAAGGTGAGAAGGAGAAGGCCTTCTCAGAGGGCGGCGGGGCTTCTCAGAAGCGCTTTCGCTTTCTGAGGAGTGTTTGTTTGTCTTCGGGGAAGGCTTGGCAACGGCATAAACAGAAGCTTTTGGCGATCCGCGCGGATTTCATGGATCCGCGCTGGGCCCCCCTCGGCGGCGCGTCCTGCACCGCCCCTGGCGGGCTCCGCGCGCAAGGGAGAGGGGTCCAGCGCGGATCTACGAAATCCGCGCGGAGCGCCAAATGTTTCTTCTGTTTATGATGTTGTTTCTTCTTGTATAGATGGGGTCGGAGTAGATTGGGTCGGAGGATCGCGCCGCATCGGCGATTCATCGCCGATGCGGCTCGCTGTGGAGCCCGATTTGCTGCATGTCGACTTCGCCGGTGCATCGCCCACGTCGATGATGCATCGCCGGTGCACCGCCGATGCATCGCTGATTCATCTCCGATGATGCATCGCCGAGGCATCGGCGATGCGTCGCGATCCTCCGACCCCATCTGGGGGTCATCGAGTAAACTGTCCGAGCTCGGGCAAGAGTTCAGGTGCGGCGCGATCCTCCGACCCCATCTGGGAGGCTTCGAAGAAACTGTCTGGACTCCGGCAAGAGTGCCGATTGCCCTGTCAGTCACCCGGAAGCGGCGTCGGGGGGCGTGCCGGGGAGGCACGGGGCCAAGAGACGGGGCCCTCCCGGGGGCGGGGCAGCAGGCAGCCAACTGCCCGAGCTCCGCGCGGACTGCTCGGGTCGGCACCAGGTGGCCCCCTGGCGGCGCCGCTGGCGCCGTCCTTGGCGCGCTCCCCGCGCCGGGCAAGCGGGGTCCAGCGGCCGATCCGAGAGATCCGCGCGCAGCTCCGAAGTCGTCGAGGATCACAGAACCACCAGTACGTGGCTTCGCTGAGGTCTTCTCCGTCTGCGCATTCGGGATCGTAGATCAGGGCGGTCTGGTTCGGTACGTCTGCAGAAAAGAGCCCCTATGCCTCACGTTTTCGGACCTCCTAACTTAGGTCCCCTCCAAAAGGGTTAGGGGTCCTTTTCCAATCAAGCACGACAGTTTCTGCTTATGCAGTTTTCCCTCCTTCCAGCATCGGAGGGCGCGCTGGCGGCCCTCCCAGCGCACCTGGCCCCCCTGGCCCGGTTCCCGGTGGCGGACAAGGACCTCATGAGCGCGCGGGTGGTCAAGACCTCCGACGGCAAGACGCCCACGATCCGCTTCAAGAAGGAGATCGTCCAGGTGACTTAGGCTGCAACTCCCTGGAGGTTGAAGTTAGACTCGGCATCGGCGCTAGTATATCCGTGGCTGATAAGCGGCTTAATCTGGCATGATCCCTGTTCATTCCATTCAATCTAAATTAATCCAGGTTTATCCGGCTGAATCCTTGGCTCAATCCGGCCTAATCTGGTTTTAATGGTATTGAGTCTGGCCCACTAACCCTTAACCGTTCTCAAGAAGACCTCCTAGGAGTTGTTTCCTGAGGTGACGTGGGGCAGCGGCCACATCGTCACCTACAAGCCCGAGTTCATCTTGGAGGAGCCCCCTGGTTATCCTTCTCCTCCCTCCTCCCTCCTCCTCCGCCCATTCGGCTTGCCCTGCTGCCAGCTCGTGCTCAGTCTCTCTGTTTTGTGCCATCACTGCTGTGGAGCCCCCGTCCCACCAGTTGGGAAGCTGGCAGTTTTCATCCTCCTGCTGCCTGGACAAAAATCTCTTGGAGGAGCCCCCCGACTGGCAGCCGGATGACATCCTCAAGCAGCGGCCCCGCGGGCGGGCGCGCAGGTCGGCGTCCTCTGGCGCGTCTGCGGCGTCCGGCAGCTGCCGCGGGCGGCCCTGAGGGTTCCACGGGGGGTGAGGGCTCTGATGTTCCGACCTACTTTAGCCTTGATCACCAGAAAGAATTTCGAGCGCCAGAAAAAAGTACCGAAACTCAAGGGTTTTCAACGTGTCGGACCCTGGGAGACACTCGCCCGACACTGTTTCGACACTGTTTCGATACTCTTTTGACACTGTTCTGGGTGCTCGAAATTATTTCTGGGATGCGGTCTTGTCGATTCGGTTCTGGGTTCTCCTGGTGATGACTGATAGATCATGGCCGAGGTCACGATATCCCCCCGGATCTCATGGCCCTTTCTTCTTGTTCTTTTGACATGTCCCGTGTCGAAGAAGAAACGTCATAAACCTAAACGTTCGGAGTTCCGCGCGGATTTCTTGGATCCGCGTTGGTCCCCCCCCAGGCTGCGCCTCCAGCGCCTCCCCTAGAGCGCTCCTCGCGCCAGGGAGGGGGGTCCAGCGCAGACCCAAGAAGTCCGCGCTCAGCGCCAAATATTTATGTTTATGGCGTTTTTCTTTTGTCTGTATCATATGGCCGAGGCCACGATATCCCCCCCGGATCTCATGCCCCTCTGCTTCTCCTGGCAAGTCCCCTCTCTTCTTCTCTTGGCACGTCCCCTGGCCCTGGTGGGCCCTGGAAACTGCAGAGCCGTTTTTTCCACCGTTTTCGAAAAAGTCTGTCGAAAACATACACGGTAACGAAAACGGCGACGGGAAACGGCACCAAAACCGGCTCCAGGATTGGAATCGGAGCTGGAACCGGCCACAACAACGGCGACGGAACCGGCAAACAAACTGCGTCGGAACTGGCAAAAGAAAAGGCGAGACGGAACCGGTAGCAAAATCGGCCTTGTCGTTTCCAGGACCCGCGAATCCCCTGGCCCACCCCCTCCTCTCGGGGAACGAAGAAAGACATGAACATATCAACTCGAAGGTCCGCGCTGATTTCTCGGATCGGCGTGGACCCCCCTCCCTGGCGCTCGGAGCGCGCCAGGGGCGGCGCCGGGGGTTCCAGCGTCGATGCGAGAAACCCGCGCGGACCTCAGAGTTTTTATGTTTATGCCATTGTTCGCGCATATGCCTCGGGCCATGATCTGCGGCCCCCCCTCTCGGACGCCCCCCTTGTGGACGCCCCCGGGTCGGGTGTTTTTTGCCGGAGGTGGTCCTGGCCCAGGGTGTCCCCAGCTTCTCTGGGGAGGAGAAGGGGGAGGAGGAGGAGGAGGAGGAGGAGGAGGAGGAGGAGGAGGAGGAGGAGGAGGAGGAGGAGGAGGAGGAGGAGGAGTTGGAGGAGGAGGGGGAGCAGGAGGAGGCGGCGGCGGAGGAGGCGGAGGAGGAGGAGGAGGAGGAGGACATCTTGGAGCCCGGGGGGCCCCTGGGCCTCGTAAGGGGCGCTTGGCAGGCCTCCTGGGCCTCCCCGGAGGTCCTGGGGGCAGCTCGGTCCGTTTGGTAGCAAATCGTGGGAGCCTTGTGTGTGGTGCTTGGTGCTTGTGGTATGATGTTCCAACCTACTTTATCCTTGACCACCAGAAAAAATTTCGAGCACCAGCAAAGTACCCCCAAATTCGAGGGTTTTCACGTGTCAGGCCCTGGGAGACTCGTCAGACACTGTTCCTCGTTCTTTCCTCTGGGTGCTCGAGATGATTTCTGGGACGTGGTGCTCAAGTGCGATGGGCGCAACATGCTATTTTTTGAAGGGGACGCAGGCCGAAGGCCGCCCTTCGTCTCCCCAGCAGGACCCGGGTCCCGGACCCCGACCCCAGAGGGGTGACGTGCGCCGCACCGGGGTCGGGGGCGGGGGCCCCGTGCGGGGAGAGGCGCGAGGGGGGAGGCCGATCCTCCGCCCCGGCGCGGCGGGCCCCGCGCGAACGCCCCCAGAGCCGCGAGATGTGTTTCCGTCGCTCGCGTCGATCAGCGTCGATGAGCGTTGAGTCGGGCGTGACACTCTACAGGAGGAGTGCCCCACACATAGTTTTAAACAATAGTTTGGGGACAATTGTTCTATCATGTTTGCACAGTGTCTGAGATTGTTATGGGTATGTTTTTTTTCATTTTCCGCCAAACATCCCCTTGTGAAGGGGACATGCCCGACCTAAGATTAGCTTCCGGGAGTGGATGAGACAGCGCCGATGTAGTGTCGGCTATCGTCGAGTAGCGTCGATTTAGCGTCGGCCAGCCTCGATGAGCGTCGATTCGCAAGAGCCGACAGTATGGTATGGGAGGCTCCCGTGAGTTGCCACAGGAGGTCCTGGGGCCATTTTCTGGCAACACCCGAAAAGGGGGTCGGGCCGACGTCCTGCGTTGGGCTTACTCTCCCCGCCCTCGCAGGAGGGGGCCGGCGCAGGGGGACCGCCGACCTCTCTCTGCCCGAACGCCATTTCCCGGACGTCCGCCGATGGGATGTTTGGATCAATCCGCGGCCTCCGCGGTTCCAGCCCCTCCCCCCCGCCCGATAACAGGCCCTGGGGGCCGAGGTCGAAGAATTAGCACCCATGATGGGCCTGTTTTCCACCACCACCACCATCAGTTGGAGGGGGGAAGGGGGGGGTGGAGGAGGAGGAGGAGGAGGAGGAGGAAGAGGAGGAGGCGGAGGAGGAGGAAGAGGACCTCTTCCCCCATCCAACTTATGGTCGTGGTGGTGGAAAACAGGCCCATCAACCCAGACTGTACAAATCAGACAGTCTGCCCGTAGAGTAAGGACGCACCAGAAGGACGCACGGGCCTTGGAAGACCATGCCGGCACCGCCCGAGCGGGGCGCGCCCAGCGAGAGTCGCTCGGGATGGGCCGAAGGGGGGAAGGATGCAAGGGCAGCCTTGGAACGTTGCTCATTCTTGCTGTGCGGGGTGACTCAGGGGTGGACCTAAACGGTGTTTTGGCGTGTTCGTGGGCCTTTTCTCGTTTCGGTTTCAAGGGCGGATTGAAGACCAAACGAGGGAAAACGAAGACAAAACGAGAACGAAAAACACCGTTCAGGTTCAGCCCTGGGTGGACTCTCTCGTCGGAGATCTGGGTATTGGGACCCTCCGACAGGTGAGAGGCCCGCCAGGCGAGAGCGCTGCCCGGCCGGGAGGTGCCGGAGGGCCTCCCAGAGGGAGCAAGTCCAGCAGGCCCGGGCCGCTCGCGTGGCTCGAGGGAGGGCAGCGGCGGCACACCTACGCCCGGCGTTTTCCGCCTTTCGTGGGCCTTCGGCTCTGCACGAACGAGATGGGCACCGAAAGAATGGGTACAATGCCCAACAGCAGTTCCTGTTCATTTTGAACCGGACTCGCTGTCCGCGCCGCCGCGTCCTGTTTCCATTTGAGACAAAGGCCGCCTGCCCAGCAGCGGCCGGTGTTGGTTTGGGACAACATTTGTTGTTGGGCATTGTACCCATTCTTTCGGTACCCATCTCGGGTGTCCAAATCGGCGAATATTCGACTAGACGAAAGAGTGACCTTTCGCAGGAGTGACCTGTGGTGCGGCCTCAGATGGGTCCCCAGATGGCTGAAAACGCAGCAGCAGCAGATGCTTGCGCGCCCAGATTCGGTTCCCCCGCGGCCCCCCAAAAGCCGCGCACCAAAGGTCACTTTTTACCCAGGGTCACTCTTGCGTATAGCCGGAAGATTCTCGTTGCCACGGCTGGATCCGCCTCCCACAGATGGATCGGAGTACATTTGGAGGCCCCTGCCAAGAAGCAGCCTTCCAGCAGTGGCGAAGTGTCCCAGCTCGCCTATAAGCCCATCCCAAGGAATGTTCTAAGAACCTTTTGTGGTCTGCGCGACATTTTCCCTAGAACATTTCTGGCTGAGATTGTCTTGTTTTGACATATCGGGCTTATGTCTAAGAACATTGTTTGTGCTCTCAGAACATTGTGGGGTTCTAAGAACATGTCGTGGTAAACTCTGCTTTCCTCCAGGCTGCCCTTGCTTTCTTGGGCTCTGATGCTTTTGGCCATGGAAAGCGCGACGCTCCCACACCATCCATTGACGTCCTGGGGTCTCAGGACTGGGCTGCTTGTGGAAGATCTCTTGTGGCCTCCACTGTGTACCCGGGGACAGGTTCCGGGCACCGCATGCGAGCGGATGATGGCCGGGCGGGCGAGCAGCCGATGTCCGGGCCACCCACATCGGGTCCGAGTGGACGGGGCCGGAGGATCCACACGCCGCAGCCCCGACGCATCGGCGGTGCGGCTCAGTTCGGGGCCCGGTGTCCTCCTCTCCGGCGTCGCCGATGCAGGGCCGACTGCGCCGGTGCGTCGCCGGTGCGTCGGCGACGCGGCACGATCCTCCGAGCCCATCTGCTCGGGCCCCATGTGGGAGGCCTCTCACCGCGGTGGTTGCGACGGCTGCCGCACTGCGTTACGCATGCGGCGAGCCGCGCAGTGCCGCCGCGCGTCGCCGGCGGCAGTGCTTCCCCCGAGCACCGGGCGTCGCGTCCTGCCGCCGAGGGGCCTTGCGGAAACGTGATGTCGTGACGTCTCGTCTGGTCCTGCCTTGCTGAGCTGCGCATGCGGATCCCGTTCGGATCCAGGAATAAGAAATGGCATAAGCATAACATTTCGGAGTTCCGCGCGGAGTTCTTGGATCTGCGTTGGGCTCTCCTTGCGGCGCCTCCGGCGCCGCCCTGGCGCGCTCCGCGCGTCAGTGCGGGGGGTCCAGCGCCGATCCACACAATCCGCGCGGAGCTCCGACAGTCTAATTATGCCTGTGCTGTTTTTTGTTGTGTTGTGGTTATGTTTGTGGTTGTTTTTGTTTTTGCCTTTTTCTGCTTGTGGTTGTTTTGTGGTTGTGTTGTTTTTATGCCTTTTGTTGCTTATGTTTGTGGTTGTTTTTGTTTAGCTCTTCTCACGCACGCGGGTCCTGCGGGACTGTCGCCCAATCGATGCCGCCCGCAGCGTCTCGCCGATGGCCGAGATGTCGACCCGTGGGCACGATGTGTTGATGTCGTTATCGGGGGCACATTCGCATATCTCTCGCCATCCTCCCCAACTCGACCCGCAAAGCGACTCTCCGCTTACTCCAGATTTCGTAATAAAAGGGAGGGGGTCTGGACCCTCCAAGACAAGCTATTTCAGACCTCCCCCATGGGAGAACCCTCCAAAACATCGTCCCCAGACCCCCCCAGGCCCTCCAAGATAGCCTGGAAAAGCCCTCCCCCGAAATGAGACTCCCCTCCCTCTATTACGAAATCTGGAGTACATTCTATACATACTGAACAACACACATCAACAGGTGGGGAGGGAATGTCGCCTTCCCGTCGGGGCTACAGAGTTGCCGAAACCAGGGCTCTCTCAGGGCTCTCTTCGGCCGGCAGTCACGGCGCCGGAGAGGAGGAACAAGTGCGTGCGTGCGTGCGCGTGTGCGTGCGCGCGTGTGTGTGTGTATGTGTGTATGTGTGTGTGCTGCGTGTGTCTGGGTTATTAGGTTATTCGCCCTGTCGTCCTCTCCCCTCACTGTATGGTGGTTGATTTCGCCTAGCGCCGCCCCGTTTCGCTCTACTCGCCAGATGAGTCCCTCTGCCTATCCGCCGCCGGAACAAGTGAATCTGGGTCATTGTGGGAGAGATGGGGGGAGAGAGAGGGAGGGAGAGAGCGAGAGATGGAATGAGAGAAAGACGGTGCACATTCGCCACACACACAGCTTGCACACTACACGCATCTGCCTGGTTGCAGCGAGCCGTCGCGGTCTCAGCGCGTGTGCAGCAGCTGGCATGCTCCTCCTCCTCTTCCTCCTCGTCCTCCTCCTCCTCCCTCCCCCCTTCTCCTCCTCCTCCCTCCCCCCTTCTTCTCCTCCTCCTCCTCCTCCTCCTCCTCCTCCTCCTCCTCCTCGTTCTCCTCCTCCTACAGCTCTGGGCGCCCCGAGGCGCCCAGGAGCCGAGGCTCTCTCGCTCCGCGCGTGGCGAGGGGGGAGGGCTTCTTAGCCGACGCCGGCCGCCCGGCGTTCTCGGGGGGCGCGCTCGGGCCCCTCCCTCCGAGGCTCGGGCCGGACGAAAGGGGGGGGAGGGTGTCGGGGGGGGAGAGTGGGGGGGGCTGAGACCTCTGACCAGGTCTCGGATGGGGATGACGATGATCATCATCATCATCATCATCATCATCATCATCATCATCATCATCATCATCATCATCATCATCATCATCATCATCATCATGATCTTCGGGCCCATTCTCATGCCATCGAGGGAATGGTGACGTCATCAGGGGCCAGAGGTCCTCACGGGCTCGGGGGGGAGGGTGGGGGGCGGGGCATCGACCTCCCATCTCCCCTGCGGCGCCGATCGGGGCCCGGGGGGCCCACGCCGCCCGGGAGAGCTGGGATGCGCCATCGGAGGCTCGTCTTCGCACGCGAGTCCTGGGAGGTCCAGGTCTGATGGTGTTGCCGTGGCCCGGCATCCCGCTAGATCCCGGCTGGATCCCGCTTACTCCGTCTGAGTCCCGCTGAACCCGAGGCCTCTTCGGCGCAACAGCCCCCCAATGGGGCTGAATCCTCCTCATCGTCTCGGGCCGGACGAAGGGGGGGGATTGGGAAAGGGGGGGTTACGAAGTCTGCTGCATGCAGCTGGTTTCGGCCCCTCCGAGGGGCCCATTCCTCGATACATGGCC